CGATAGTTACTAAGGGAAGGTATTGAAGACAGAAAAATATCTTCTTCTTCTTCTTGTTCTTGTTCTTCTTCTTCATCTTAATAATAATAATAACACTACTACTACTACTACTAATAATAATAATAATAATAATAATAATAATAATATAAAACAGGGAAAACGTTTATAATATATATATATATTTGTTAATTTTTTTATTTATTTTTGGTTCAGGCAAGGAGTTGTTAATCGAAATCGTTAGCCAAAAGCCCCCTAAAAATAAAAATAAATGAAAAAAACAACCCTTAATTCGATTTTTAATTTTAATGGTCCTACTTTGAAAACCCACCACCAACCACTACTATTCATACAAAGAATGTTAGGAAAGGAAAAAAAAATTAGAAAACGAAAATTTGACAAATGATTTCAATATAGAATGCTATTTAAAAGACCATAAACAGCAAATTTTGTTTGTCTGCAAAGGTAGTTTGTTTGGACTTTAAGCAATTGCCCACTCGAATATCAACTCCACTGTTTACAACTAATATCGTCGTAAAGTAGGTCAGTTTGACTCAAGATGGTTAGAAAAAAGTCATTAAGGCAGAATAAATTTAGAAACGTAAGCTGCAATCAAAACCAATTTTGAAGTAATGCCTTCTCCATTCGCATGTAAATCATAACAAGTTTCACAGGGTTTTATTCATCGACTAAGTATACAGCTGCATACTTGGCTGTGGTTTTAAAATCCAATATATTTTTTAATTCTCTTTTCAATGACTCTTATGCTCTTTTAAACATTCATTGGTTGGCTATTTTGTTTCGTTACGTATGACCTTGGATAGACTGGCGGTGAGTTTGATTCATTCTATGACTGAGGTCTAAAAGATGAGTCTTCCGAATTTGATGAAAATATTATATTTGGTTGTTTTTTTTCCTGTTTTTGTTATGTTTTTGTTTTGTTTATGTTTGTAATCAGGACAAACATAAGAGACAGGTTGCTTTTATGGCTGATTGGTGAGAAAAAAATTTTTCTTACATTTTCAAGCCTAAATGTTGATGGTGCACAATATTATCGGGAAAGTGTATTAGTCAAAAACAAAGTAAACGAAGAAACAAAGAAAAGAAAAGTAAGGAAAAGGAAAACAAATAAAAGGGAAATAAAAATAAACAGGTAAAATAAAATAAAAAATTAAACGAAAGAAATACATGTACACCGACGAAACATTTGTATTGCAGTTTTATTCAATCTTAACTTTATATTCTTCATTGAATCGAACTAGATCTCTTGTTAACATATACTTATTCTTTTATTATTCATAATAACTGTTTTTGAGATTTCGAGCAAGGGATTCCATTTCGTCAGGCAATATGTCATTTGGGTTGGCATCACGCTGTGAAAAAAAGAAGAAAGGATAGTATGTGTAAATGAAGAATGCGTATGACTCATCAAGATTGATTTTATATTGCTTGAAAGACTCCAAGTCTCAAATATTCGACTTTAATTTACTTCCAGATAACTCGTCGATAACCCTTCCTGTACTCTCCTCTCCTTCTCTTTCCTTCTTTCTTTCCTTTCCCTTCCTAAACGAACAGGTGGAGATAATAACCAAGGTTTCTTTTAGCATGAGTCGCCGAACATCCTGTCTTTATTGGTAATATATCGATTCAAGCATAAAAGTAGACTAGGTGCTAAGACACTTTATTGAATTATAAAGTTGTGTGCCTCATAATCTAAAGTCTTAAATACGTTTTTTTCTTAAATAAGTATAAGTAATGGTATGGAGCTGAGTAAAATTAAGGAGTCATCTCACGAGTGTTTCCAAAGTTTTGAATTGTTTTATCATATACAGCCTGATCTTTAAACCCTAAACTTTTATCCTGGTTTCTTATACTGAGTATCTACTATATTTGATATGTAATAATGTCTCATGTCCTAATACCTCTACTTTGGGATGGTGGATTTACTCTCATAAGAACAATATATCATTAGGTTTTCTGAAGGGAACATTGCAAATATATCATAGCTGTGCATTTCGTTGACGTTCCTCGGTTTATTTAAGATATTTCCTGTCGGTTTTGTGTAAAACCAGTAATTTCGACATTCAACATATCAACAACATCCATAACATCAACTCGTCAACGTGTATAGAAACTGAATACTAGTTACGGGGGCGGGGGTTGGGGAAGGAGGAACTATGAATTCAAGTCGCTTACTTATTTTTGTCGAAAATTTCGCTTTCCAGAATTGCATCTCTTTCTGGATCGGCTCCAGATAACACAGGCTGAATCGTACATCTTTCTGGGTCGATTATTCTTCCGTAGTTCTTTTTTTAGTTCTGGAAACTCGCCAGAATCTTCAAACACCTCTTTATTTATTGGCTAGGATAATAAACGAAGAAAGTAAAACGTTAGAAGATATCCGTTAATATTTTATTCAAAGATTTTGCAGTATAGGTGCTTTTAGTCACACCATTTCCATTCCAAACAGTCTTTTTGTGCACATTGATAATGGCAAGTAAGTTAGGGATGAACTAGATAGACAGAATTATTGTAAAGAAATAAATGGAATTAAAATGTGAAACAAAAAAGAAACTTCAGACTAGAGAAAAGAACAACAAGAAACGAAAACAACCACAGAGGGCAATAAAGAAATTAAAACAATTGACGTGAAATTTTGAGCTATATAGCAGTAAAAGATTCCAACTATTTAAAACTATATATGCAACTATATACAAAAACTTTGACCCTTTTGTACATATAGACAAGTATATCAAAAGTATATCAGAAATTATGGGATATCATCCCTGATCTTTTTTTTTTTTTTTTTTTTTTTTCAGAAAGCCCTAGTGATGGGCAACTCGAAAAAAATATCAGGGATGATATCCCATGATTTTTGTTTTACTTTCGATATACTTGTATATAGCTACAAAACGGTCAAAGTTTTTGCCTATATGAAAATGGCATTTTCAAAAAAGTTGCAAAAGTGAAATTTAGAATAATTTTAATAATAATAAAATTTTATACGTTTAGTAATTTTTGACCTACGGCTTTTTGCGACGGCTTTTTGAAATTTCTCTTACATCGCCGGCTTCGATTCCACACCATTCGTTGACAGCCTGGATCATTAAAATAGGGGACTACATTTTCTGGTAGTGCGATGGTTTCTACTGATTCTGGATTAGCAGTTAAGTCAGGATCGGTTCCTTCATCTTTAAGCAATTCTACTCCGGTCTGGGATGATGCCAAAACAAGGATGCTTGACGCAAGCAAAATAAAACTTAGAAATTGTTTCATATTTTTTGCTCTGCCTTGTTCTTTTCAAAAGTAAAGCTAAGTGAAAATCGCTCTTATTTAAAGGAAAGAAACCTTGACAGAACAGCATCTTTAAAAACAGATGGGACTAAAATTGCACTAATTCTTAGCATTATTCTGCTGTGCTAAAACTGAGAATCAAAGACAACATAAAGAATAAAGAATATAGCTTTCTCGACAGGAAAACACTTTTCTCTTGGTATCAACTCAATAAACATTTTACTATCGCTTTCCTTTCATCTAGTTTTAACATTGTGTTCAGAGCACAAAGCTAGTCGCTACGAGAAGCACAAGAATGCACTTAAGGAAGGTATGGTTTTATGTTTAAAGCGTGGGCAATGTTAGAACGTTTCTTCTCAATTACAATAAACAGAGACAGAACGCCTACTCGTTAAGTTTTTCTACACTCCTAAGTAAACAGAGAACACAGTACACGACAATTAACATTTATTGCTTTATATTCAGGAAACTTGCACGTATTTATTGTTTTTCCATTGAACTGGTTAGCAAACTTATGATTTACCATTTTGGTCGTTTCTTCACACTTTTTCTCTCTTTTAGTGTTCCTATAAAGAACTACAGGATATATAAAATGGATTTGTTGAGGACGATCTTTCTTAGTATGCCAGCTGGTGTGGCTGATAAAGAAAAGGGGCGTAGTAACACGCTGAGATCAATCATAGCCAAGCTCAAAAGATTCAATGACCTTATGTTATGTTTTTAAAAACATGAGCATTGTTAGCCATACGGTCGAGTGAAACCATTAATTGAAGAAGAAAGTTTATTAATATTTTTTGCAACAAAATCATCCATGGGTGCAATATCCATGTATATTTAAGAACTATAATTACAAATATAATATGTATATCCATGTACATAAACATCTCACACGGAAACTCCAAAGTCAGACGTTTCATAAAGGCTTTACTTTAATTTGGCAAATTATTATGTGACAGGATTTAAGGATAGACATGAGTTAAAATGAAACGAGTATGCTTTATTACAGCTCCACTTCTCTCTTTCTCTTTCTGAGAAAAAATGATGACATGARGTATATTAATTATATGCAAAATACTCCCTAAAACAATGTACAAGCTAACGGTTTCGGGTCTGGGTACTGCATTTCTTTAAACTTGGCTTTCTTCTACGTATCTCTAATAAAAACTAATGATCCTACGCTTTATCAATAAAATGCTAATTTACATTATAGAGTCGTCAGTAGATGGACTAGTTATAGTTTTTGATGGGGGGTAAAATTTATGCCGTTACTGGAAACAGCGCTTTCTTCTACGTATCTCTAATAAAAACTAATGATCCTACGCTTTATCAATAAAATGCTAATTTACATTATAGAGTCGTCAGTAGATGGACCAGTTATAGCTTTTGATGGGGGGTAAAATATGGTTACTGAAAACAGCGATTTTGACCACCACTGATTCTTTCCAATTCTTCTTTAACATTTCAGCTAAAATTCTTTTCGTTGAGAAATCTGTACGTTGCATTTTCTTGACCGATATAGTCGAATCTAGGTTCGTTAAAAAAAACTGTAAGTTTTATTGATTTTAGATTGAAATTAGCAGCCATACTTGATACTAATTATAAAGGCATAAAACGATCTTTCTTCTTAGGTGAATGACGAGAGGAAATAAAATAAAATAATAATAAAAAAGAAACAAATATTGAAGGTGCTTGGTTCCAGTTAAGTAAATATTGCTCTGGTTTCTACGCAGTCACTGGAGACCAATACCTACTTTCGAATGCGAAACATTTCAAGTCAATATGTGTTCCTATGTGTTGTTAATATGTGTAAATTTCAAGTTAATATTATTATATGTAATATTAACACTTTGGAGAAAAATATTTTCTAAGCAACACCTATATATATTTCGGCTATACAAAGAAAACGACAATTCGATATTGGTGTTTGCTTTTTAAAGGACTGTTAAGACCAGAGTGTCTTCGACTGCCAAAACCAGGGACGTCGTACCATAAATTAACTTATTCTAAAATATTTAACGACGATGGGGAAGGGAAGAGGAGGGGACAGTCGGAGGAGGCAGCGCCTACGATGACGCTATTGTTTTAGCGTTTACCGTCCACTCGTTTTAATTAATATATTTGTGTCAAGTCTTTTCAATTCCCAAGCGTGAACATTTGGGGGTTAACTTCCGTCTCTTATTATCAGTGCTCAGTGCTCGAATGAAAACAGTGCCAGGCAAAATGGATCCAGACAATAATGGCAACGCAAAGGCCCGTGTCTTGAACTGCAAAACCGAAGTCGAATTGGGGAAGGAAACGTTCCGAAATCAGTTCAAACTAGCCAAGGGTTATTTGTAATCGCAGTTTTGTAAGAAAACTGAAAAACCTTTCTGAAACTTATAAGTTTACGCATAAGCATATCTGATCGTTATGGTTGCTCTAGAGTCCCGTTACAACCAAAACAAATTCAAATGTCTTGACAGCGTTTAAATGATGAAGCGTTTCACGTATTCAATAAGTAGAATAGCACCAAATCCTTGCCAATAATAACGGATGTATGGATTGAAAATGCTCTTCCTTTTAGATTGGAATTTTCGCCTTTTACATTCTTTTAAATTAGATACTGCTAGTCATAACCTATGTATTTTCAAAACCTTCGTCCGCAATTAATTTGATAGACTGTGCTGTATGCTGTGCTGTTTTAATTTATTTTTTATTTAATTTTTAAATAACATGTCATGATTGACGTCAGATATCGATAATAGTAATTTCGAGCAACCAAAATGAACGAGAAAAATAGCTAAAACCATAGCGTCATTGCAGGTGCTCCTTCCCTCTCTCTCCTTCCCCCTTCCCAATCCCCCTTCCTCAATTCCCTACACAGACCAAGAATGATATTTAACTTGACAGCCATGTTGGATGCTTTTTACTATAGGTGAAATGTAATCATTGCTAAGGGGAATAAAGATGTGAGCCATGTTGAATGGCCAGTGCGCTTTTACTATTTTAGTATTTTTTTCCTACGTACTTGTCATTTAAAATAAAATAATTTTTTTTTTTAGAATGTTTACAATTTTTTTAAATTGTTACCATTTTAAAATATCGCAATGAATGCTAATGCAATTATCCACGACAAAGCCCGTGTGCAATCTGATCTATTGCCTCTTAATTAATATTGTTTCAAAAATGATGGCTACTCTTTGTAGTCGCTCCCTCGTGCTTTTCTTGATTACCTATCAAAACATTTTCCACATCTACGCTGCCGCATCGTTGGGCTATCTTTTTTCCCCCTTAAAATTCATTTCGAGTTGAAAAACTATTAGAATTAATACATTTTGAATTATTGCTATTTTTGTATACTGACGTCGATTGATTTTACTTCCAAAGAGTTCACAGTAGGAATGCAGAATACTGGCGCCATAAACCCTTTAAAGTTGATGGAAGAGTAACTCCTGCTGACTTTCTGACTAGATTATGGCAGATCTTGAGTTGTGGTTATTTTAATTATTATATATAAGATTAGGTTTTTTTTTGTAATAGTCTAATGTTTTGGATGGTTGGATGGTTGGATGGTTGGATGGTTGGATGGTTGGATGGTTGGATGGTTGGATGGTTGCCTAACTTGTCGAATATGCGGCATAATCTTCCTCCTGATTTCTTATGTCTCACAGTTCCATATAAAGTCGAGAGTGCAAAGTGATTTCTGTTTTTGTATTTATGAGTAGCCAAACGTGGGTAGTGAGTGATTTGGATGTTTGCTTTTTCTTGAGATCCTTTCGATCTCTCGTAATGCTGCCGCGTCTCTGCTTTCCTCTTTGCTCAGTTGAGAGACTTGCCTTCGTAATGCCTGTCATGGCCACACAACGATCTTGCATTTGCCGTACTTCTTGTGCAAGGGATCTCTTCTAGTTTAAATCTTATCTCTTGCATGTCTTATGGCTGGTTAATTAGATAGTCCTTTTTCTGGCTGGTTGGATGAAGGAATTTGTCCACAAATGCAATACAGATTAAATTTAAAAGTTCTAACAAATGCGTTTTTGGGAAAGTTACTTTTTTTATCAATAATGTAGGAACTCTAAATCCTTGGAAATTGCAGTCAGGAGTCATTTTTAAGTCTATAATTGTTTTACTTGTTTTCTCTGACGTTCTCAAGTTTTACAAAAAGACCCTGGTGGCAGAGTAGACCAGGTTAGCTGGAAGAATAAAATAAATAAATCGCTTTTTATTAATTGTCTAGTCGTTCTAGCGCTTTCGCACTAATTGGGGACACTTTTCGCTCACACGCACTACCACTAAATCTAATGTTCTATGCACACAACGCTCACCTCATATGTTGATTTTTACGGAGGGAGGAAACTGGAGAACCCGGAGAAAACCCTCGTAGCATAGGAGAGAACAACACATCAAATAAACTTAATTCGCATGTGGCGACCGCAGGGCTCGAACCAGCGACCCGACCAGTTGGACTCAAAGCGGTGAAAGACGACCCGTTAGCTGCGACCGCCACCCATGCTACCCCATTAGGTGCTTAGTGGGCTAAGATCCTAAAGGCAAAGTGAAAATAAGCAACCAGATGACAGAACGACTAATATACAGAGAAATCATTTCGAATACAAAATTTATGAGAAAATCAAAATCCTATCATGTATGGTAGAAGATTTGTCGACAAGCACGTTTTGCAAAAGTGTTCGAATGACGTTCTGCTTGATTATAGTTTAGCTAGAAAAGTCATGGTAAGACATGTTAATCTTTGCTCAGGATTTCTCTCAGAATTACTTGACTTTTCATTGTTTCCTTGGTTAATCTTTATTTTGAAATAAATAGATATTTTCTAAAAGAAAATTTTCACAGTAAATACAAGATGGATATCAAGCGAAGGTCAAAATGCAAGCGTTTTAGAAATGTATTTTCATCATTTTATTACTCTTAATAACAAATCAAAACTCAAATAAACTTATATGTACCTGGTATTTATTTGTTGCCGTTTTCAAAGYCAAAATTAAATACCTTTAAAATATAGCATCTAGTAATCAGAATCGGGTCAAAAA